CTTGTAACCAATATGTCCTCATTAATTCTGTTCTGATAGGTTGGGTTTCTGCTATGGTTGGGTCCGCAGACAGATGCTTGTAACCAATATGTCCTCATTAATTCTGTTCTGGTAGGTTGGACCTTTGCCATGGTTGGGTCCACAGACAGACGCTGCCATCAAGGGACTCAGCAAGAATGGACGCAAGAACATTCTTCTAGTTCCCATAGCCTTTGTCAACGATCACATTGAGACACTTCATGAACTAGACTTGGAATATGCAGATGAATTGGCTAAAGAGGTAAGTGCAGCGATGAAGTGCTTGGTCTTCTCATTAGAATTTACTCTTTTAGTCTCAAGAATTTGACATAGGTAGAATACTATCTCCCTATTTGGACTATCACCTCCCATTGAAGTTATTATGGAATGCATGCCTTTCTGCTGGGCCCTCGGGTGTTTAGGCACCTCACTTCAGTCAGATTTACATAGGCACTTAATGAATGGGTCTCTGATAGTTGTTCACTGATGTGTGTATTTTCAGTGTGGTGTTGAGAACATCAGGCGTGCCGCATCACTGAATGACCATCCCATTTTCATTGAGGTAAGTTTCAACCTTTTGTGGAGTAAAGCTTTAACCACTTGCTGCCTGGTGGTTTGAAAACTGCAGTACACATAATGGGGACTTTTTCAAGAGTTTCAGTTTTCAAAATTCTTCGAAAAATGGTCATATCTGCTCGTGATTTCAGTGTTTGAGTCCTCGTTGCATTCTAATGGTCGTTCCCTTTCAGTTCTGTTCCTCAGGTAACATTCCACATTTTGAACAAATCCTGGCCAACTGTTGTTGTTTCACATTACAATTGCTTGATTACACGCCTATCTAATGCACAGTTCTTGACCACAAATCCCAACTTAGCCGTTCAGTAGATAACGTGACTGGAATCGTCCTTCCTTTACAAATTAACATGATAGAGGGGATTCACTTGTCGGGCAGGAATATTTCTGACTAGTCCGCACAGCTTCTGCCTGGCGTCAGTGAGTTTGGCGCTCTTATTCCTCATTATATAACCAATCTTTACAGCCTTGGACGTAATTATGAATAATGCATAAGCACAGAGGGCGCCCTCTTTTGAAACTGTCAGATACTGTGGATACTGCCTCTTGGAATGTTTGCTTAAAAAGTGTGCAGTGTACATATGACATTGAAACATTTTAAAAAACTTAACTTCAGACTGTGGTTACGCTCTAATAATTTATATTACGGGAAATTAGACATCAACTTTCATGGAAATCAACTGTCTGAGATAGAAGTAGAAATCATTAACCCTAACCCTCCTCAATCCTCCAACAGGTGAAGGATTGAGGAGGGTTAGGGTTAACCATTAGAACTTAGCCTGGGCTTGCTAAGTTGCTGCTAGGGCTTTAGTGTTCTACTTTTAGACATGAAGTGAAAGCCCAGCTTCACTCATCCTTTTCTTGTTTTGAAGTTTTTGGGTTTTTTTGTTTTGTTTTGGTATTTTTGGAATAGGCAATGGCTGATCTTGTGACACGTCATCTGGCTTCAGGTAAGACATGCTCTACGCAGTTACCTTTGAGATGTCCAGAGTGTGTCAATGCCGTCTGTGGTAAAACCAAGGAATTTTTTGCCAATCAGCAGCTGTAAATCTGTCCCTTAAAGGTGCAGTTGACAGCGGAAGAAATGGCCTGGTTCCCATTTCTGTCCAGTGATGTAGATTTTGCAGATTTTGTTAACATTTCCGCAACTTGGAATTTCAAAAGTTCCAAAAATGAGGTCTTTGGAAATTTATTTCCTCCAGAATTTTGGATAAAGATTCAAGTCTGGATTTTAATGATAGTATAGAAAGTAACTGCCTTAAGGGTTTCTACAGGGTATAGAGCAGTAGCGTCTCATTTTGCAACAGTGAAAAGAATTTTCGATGTAATTTTCTTACCATTTTGTTTGTAGGGTCTAAAAAGCTGAAGAATTTGCATTTGCTGTCATCAAATTCCTCTAAGAAATTTTTATTTTGCATTTTAGTAGTAATAGCTAGTATCTACATTTATTTGCAATTTTTTTTGGAGTTTTTCCTGCTTCTTTTTCATGTTTGGAAAAGATTGTTGGGAGATATTTGTCACCTATCACCACAAAATAAGCAGAACGTCGGAATTTTCAAATACTGACATAGTAGTATTTTTGAATTCAGCAGAAAGAGAGCCTTCCATTGGTATGTACATGGAAACTTAGTGTAAGAGTACAAGATGACAATGTGACATTATTCTGGCAGTTTTATGGCTTAGTTTCTGACGTTGTTTCAACATTTCTTAGCAGGCACAAATAATTAATGCTTTCATCAAAATTGTGGAAAAAATTACATTTTTGAATATGTGATCCTGCAAGAAAATTGGAATTAAATAGAGGGGTTACTCTTTCCAAATATTATAAAACCCCAAAGTGACCTCCACTTCAGAATTTTACTTTTAACCCCCAAAATAGGAAAGAGTGGAACGCAACTTAATGCTCATTTTGTTGTGTCTGGCTTTATGCTCATTTTGTTGTGTCTGGCTTTATGCTCATTTTGTTGTGTCTGGCAGACACAACAAAATGAGTGTAAAGTTGCATTCCACTCTTTCCTATCTGGTCACATTTGGTGGCACTTCTCAGCATCATCAATGAAATACTTTCAGGTACCAATCAATATGCTTCACCTTACACTGCAAGTTCAAACTTCCTGCTTCTTTATTGTGATAAAGCAGCACCTGAGGAAATAAGTTTACAAAGATAACTTAATACGACAAAAATGGCATGGTTTACTTTTGTTACAGTTAGTCACAAGCACTTCTACCGACCATAATCACAAAATAGTTGACTGTATTAAACTGCCAAATCCTTCATTACAAGAGCATTTTTGTGCTTGTAACATCACAATAAATCATTAGACACTGCTTTAGTAAACATAAATAATACCTCCACTCCCCCCCCCAAAAAGGGGGGCTAGTTTTGTACATAAAGGTGCTGGAAAAATGTTAAATGATGGACTTCTCTTATTTAATTCTGCCAAAATAATAACTGGAAGAATGGGCCAAAAATATTGCCATGAGATATTTACCTGTACAGTTTGCCAATGATGTCGTCATCCCTGTGCTCCATGTAAACAGGGCAACACAGACTGATATACAGCGTATATTATCATTAGTCATAGGCCAAGGTCGATAGAGGGATCCCAATACAACACTTTTAGCGTTGACCTGTGCACTTCCGCGTTTGAAAACGAGGCTGTATGTGTCAGCTTCAGTTCTTAATGCAATCAGATGATTGAAAGTAAGGAGTCAGGACACAAAATACATAAAGGATAGTTAAATTCAGACTTTTTAGGCTGCAAAATTTTGTGGAAGAGGCTTTTAGGATGACTTGACAAGTAAAATCAAAAGAAAAAATAGCAACAATTGACCGCGAACTAACGTACCTGCGATGGTCGTGTATCTTGTGCAGTGGGCGTGGTTTAAACTGAAGTTGCATCACACTTAAGAACCGGATACTCCATGTACTGTGTGGACCCCATGGGCACGCGCAACGAAGTTCAACACAGAGAGCCTTGGTTTCGATGCAGATATGCGCAGACGGCGCTAATGTGAAATCCCTTCATACTTCAGTCACATTATGCTACATTTGAGTGAAAGGAGACTTTCACTCTCTTATGTGACACCTGTCTTTGTGGACATTTCCCCCGTATTGGCATAGCTTTGAAAACCATCATTGGGTGTACAGTCAGACTTCGCAAAGTTCTGTAAAATTTAAATGAAGTTAGATTATTTTGAATTTCCTACACGTTACCACACAGAAATACATGGTCAGAGTTCCAAACAGTAGTTATGAACACAAAGTTATCAATGTGAGCTTTGTGCAGCTGTGCCATTAACAATGACACCAAATAGTCATAATTATCACGTACAAGGGAAAGAAATTAGCACAAAGCAGCTGGGATTGTCAAACTGTGTTCTTATACTGATAAACGTCTTTCTCCACTGCTCTAGAAAAAAGTAGTGTTTAGAAATTTAGGCGTTTAGTCCTTGAAATATGTTCATTTAAGTTTGTTCATTTCACCCTAACCCTCCTGAATCCTTCACCTGTTGGAGGATTGAGGAGGGTTAGGGTTTAAGTCAGCAAACACTGTGATTAGGTGTTTCTTGACCTCTTCACTAAATTTTCTATTTTCAATAAGAATTAGCATAACAGATAATTTTCTAAAGGAATGCAAATTCTCAGTGATACATTGAAAACAAAAGATCTGCTTGGTTGAGTAATGATGTAGTTTCTGTGTGGGGTTTGTCCACACTGGTACAGTAAGGATGGGAACACTGTCTCGGTTATTGTTAAACTCAACCCCAGGATTTCTCTTATTTTTAAACATTCCTGACTCCTTCCACCGCCAACAGTGAAACAATACAATGGTACTGGGCCTCAAAATAAATCTGGAAGTCCAATCATGCATAGATGGAGACTTTGCTGTGCTCGCATTTATCCAAATACATGGGCTGCAAAAATGGATGTGTCCATGTCTGTGTGGAGATCTGATATGATATTTTAGGCTGATGATGATCAAATAACATTCCTGATTCAGTATAATGTATCACAAGATACTACGATGACCAAGTAATATTCCTGATTCAATATCCTGTATCACAAGATACTACGATGATCAAGTAATATTCCTGATTCAATATCCTGTATCACAAGATACTATGAGGACCAAGTAATATTCCTGATTCAATATCCTGTATCACAAGATACTACGATGATCAAGTAATATTCCTGATTCAATATCCTGTATCACAAGATACTACGATGACCAAGTAATATTCCTGATTCAATATCCTGTATCACAAGATACTACGATGACCAAGTAATATTCCTGATTCAATATCCTGTATCACAAGATACTATGAGGACCAAGTAATATTCCTGATTCAGTATCCGGTTATCACAAGATAGTACGATGACCAAGTAATATTCCTGATTCAATATCCTGTTATCAAAAGATACTACGATGACCAAGTAATATTCCTGATTCAATATCCTGTATCACAAGATACTACGATGACCAAGTAATATTCCTGATTCAATATCCTGTATCCACAAAATGTTATGTATTAAATATGGCAAAATAGATGGATCTACTTTAAAAATGTCAAAACTTCAAATGTGGTTTTCTTACATGGTACAAATAAACCTTCTATCAATATTTAGTTAGCGAAATATAATATAACAGAATGACACATTCTATTGTTTTACTTTTCTTGGTTAAAATAATTATCACGCAAAACTCCGGAGAAGTCATTTATATAATGATGAAACATGCCTGAGGTTGCACAAAGGCACTGAAATAACACAGGTTCCCGTCTCAACTTTTTTTCTGCTTATTAATACCGCAACCTTCTTCAATCCCTGTTTCTCAAGGCAAACCAAAGTTTTACCTTGCTTCTGCAAAGAAAGCATTCCATGACAATTTTGTCTTCTCCAATGCAACTTCACACATCTGTTCATCACTAAATTCTAGCCAGTTCTTAGATTCTAATTCACCATGCACAATATCTCCAATTTCCATGAGTTCCAGTGAGTGTTGAACCAATCTAATTTACTAATTTAATTTATACCAGCAAAAGTTCACAAATTTATCTACAAAAATATTTCTAAAAAAATTCATCAACAAATTCACCTTTTTAAGCAAAGGTTAAAATAATATGAGACCACTCAGAAATGTAAAACAGGAATGTCATTTGCCCCTGAACAAAATATAGGAAATTATGCATTCCCTGTGGAACCCCATAAGTAGCTTGGCTGTAGTAGAGAAGATTGACAACAGTGGAAACACAAACAAATAAAAAATCTCGAATGTTAGAAAAATAGGAAAAATATCATGGCTGTATAAAGCAGCATTGTAATAAAATTCAACTGATTTTTAAGAGTTTAGAAAGTTCAGACGTAAAACTAAATCAAAAAGATTTAAATGTTATTTATGACATTAAAAAATGAAGTACCAGCCTCTAGAAATGTACCATGGTGTAACTAGGGCTAAATTTTGAAACTTAGCTGCAGCTGCATTACAATGGACATTGTTCAGAGATTTCAAATGAGGGCATGCCCCCCCCAGAAACTACACTGGAATATCTCACAGCACTTGTGGTAAGTTACTGTTGGTATTATCAATGCAGAACTGTTGTGTACCTGTATGAAAGAAGGCCTCGACAGTGAAGCCATGCTTTGTTGAGTGCATGTAGCTATTGCTTTGTTACATGCACTTTGTAGTGGCTTTTTGCTTAAGTTCACAATCCCTTATGGCTGTGTGTACTTTGGAAGTCTCTGATTCTGGTTGTTGTCCTTTGAAAATCAACACTCCAACATCTATTCATTGACACTGCTGATCTCTTTGTCAGACTAATCCATTGTGAAACCGAGAATTCAGGCACTGTGCCATTTCTAGAAGTGTGTGCTTTGAGAACACAAGCATGTAAAATGGAGTGAAGTACATGTACAAACATCACTTCCCATTACACAACACCTAAAATGAAATATCACTGACTGATTATTGGCAGTGATCTCAAATTATGTACTCAAATCATTACAAATGACACTTAAGGATTGGGGGTTTAAATATATGCTGAACACTACAATATGCCTCTAGTAACAAATTATTCTGATAGTGGCAAAGGGCTAGCTCCAAATTGTGACTGAACACAAACTTCTATAATGCTTTTGTAGGGCTACACACTGTACCACAGTCCTCAGTCCTCCAACAGGTGAAGGATCGAGGACTGTTAGGGTTAACACCAAAGCATTGGAGGTGCAGGATGCAGTTTTTAACAGATTAAGAGTAGGTGGGATTATCAACTTAACTCTTTGAGTTCGTGGGGTTTGGGCAAGAGAGTAAACTCTGGTTGAAATTTATCTTCTTACTTTCGGTTGTTTTGTCATAATGACATGGTCCTAATCAGTGGAAGTAGATGATTAGGGGCCTCTTCCAGATGTGATGTAAGATAATAATGAACAGGCAAACGGAAATGAACCAGACAGATACAGGAGGGCTTACTGCACTAACTTGTCACAGTGTATATGCCAGCTGCTGACCAGAGTCAGGACACGATTCATTAAACACTGTACCTGATGACTCTGGTCTTCACAACCTTCAGCGTCTTGTGTCAAGGATTTGGAAGGTGTCATGTGGAACTGCTGAGCTTTTCCAAGATTTAAGGAAAAGCTAATGTCTAAATTAAGATAGCTGGGCTCAGTTACGGGGTAAAAAAGAAAGTTACCAAACTAACTGCTTACTGACACTAACTACAATAAGTAAATATAATGGAATTTCTTTCCAGGAACATCAAACTGACCACTATGTAGTGTGTTCCAGTCTCACACTTTCTCTGTTGCTATTTCTTGACTTCCATCATGATTTGCTGGTTCCTGTTTAGGCACAGACTTGTACCGCCCTTTATCCATGCTGGCGTCTCCATCATTTGTTTCTTCTCTACTTTTACGAAGACAGCGACAAATATTTCCCTCTGCAGCAAAAACAAAAATCAAAATATTTGAATGTGTCAGAAAAATACCACCTGTACACATCAAGCACCTGCTCGAAACCCTATTTATCAACAAAAATAATAACTACTGTGCTATGTACTGCTTTCCTTTGAGACATACAAAATATTTGGGTGAGTTTGGAGGGACTTGTGAAGAAAAGCAATTCTATGCAAATGCCTAATCATTTCCCCCCCCAAAAGAAAAACACAACATGAACTTTCTTCCAGATGAATTTCTTAACATCTGTCTAAGAGTTGGGCAATGTCTAGACAAACAACTCAGTTCCCCTTCCCCTTGCATGACCCATGTCCTCCCTGATTGTGGGGTCCATGGTCATAGATACTCACTCCCAACTCTTTCAGCGTCCTCCACAGTTTCTGGCAAGGGTTTGCCTCTTGTCTCCGGCAGGAAGAGTAAGAGGAGACCAGAGGAGATGGAGAAAGCACCAAAGATGAAGTAAGGCAAAGAGAACCAGACAGCACCTAGTTCTAAGATGAAAGGACAGATAATGCCACTGATACGGGCCATCATGGAAGACAAGCCCATACCTTGACTCCTGCCAACAAAACAGAATATTCAAATGTTGAAGACTCACAGAACAAGTTTCATCCTGTGTGTCTGATTTCCAAGACAACACAATACTTTTTCTACATGTAACTGAATTTTACCTATTGTTTCATTGTCTAAGATTGAATCGTTTCATTGTTGCAGACCCATCGGGTAATTAAAACATCAAAAACCAGTGCATTTGTAAGAGAGGTTTTATGGGCCAAATTCCAACCAATAAGAGAATAAGTCCAAAATAATTATCAATGATACAGTGAAAACGAGACATGCAAAGCATGTCATAAATACTAACAAATACATTTCATTTAAATAATACACAGTGAAGTGTTCCTACTTCAGTGTTTATGAAATATGGCATAAATGCATTATTGTATTGAATTTGTCAGAGTGTATGATATATGACTATTGACCGAGGTTCTTGAGGGCAGATATATAACAACCTTCATGGTACCACGTCAGAATATTCAACGTCACTCACTTTTACAGTATCACTTTCTGAAATACATGAACCAGATTAATTTTGCTTGTGACACAAATGTTACACGCTGTAGCATCTCATCATCATCTGTTGTGATAGAGTATTCCCATAATCACAGTGACAATTATTGACCTACCTGAGTTGTGTTGGATAGATCTCAGCAGAATAGGTGTATATCATCCCAAATGTTGTAGTTATAAAGAACTTTCCTATCATGGCAACAGTTGCTCGACCAGCTCCAGGGGCTAAGAATGAACAGAATGAGCCAGATACAGAGTTGGTAACATGAACAGAATGAGCCAGACACAGAGTTGGTAACATGAACAGAATGAGCCAGACACAGAGTTGGTAACATTACAACTCCTTTGTTTTATAAGAAATTCATTGGCTCCAAATTCTTTAAAACGTCTGATTGCTTTCCAAGGGTATATTCAAAATCCCATTGAATTACAATGCTAAGAACCCAAAGACACACTGCTATGCTGCCCCCAAGTAACCCCTGCCAAATGCCCAACCCAGCCCAGCTTTACCCCATACCTATCCTTATCCAACAGCAGCCTTTACCACGCCCCTACCCTCAACTTTATCCACAATGGAGCGCCCATTTCCCCTATCCCAACCCAACCCTACCCCATACCTATCCTTATCCAACAGCAGCCTTTACCACGCCCCTACCCTCAACTTTATCCACAATGGAGCCCCATTTCCCCTATCCCAACCCAACCCAGCCTTACCCCATTCCTATCCTTATCCAACAGCAGCCCTTACCTCAGCCCAATCCCCACCCCTCACCCCAACTAATCCCCCATTTATCCCATCCCAACACACCTCTTTCTTACCCTTACCCCAGTATTTTATTACCATCAACTTACAAAAGAGAGTGGCTCCTACGCAGGCGATTCCGCTAGCCACAAGGTAAAGACAAAGTGGCAAACGACGACCAATATACTGCATGGAGAGTATTGCCATGATATAGGCTGGTATTTCAACAGCACCGGCAACAAATGCAGCAAGGTAATGATCTACACCCAAATCTGAGGTACTCAGAGATATCCCATAGTATACCATGTTGTTGACAAACCTGAAAGAAATCATCATTAGGACATAAACTATATTGTATTTGTAAAGTGCCTTCTGGTAAGTTTTCAAAATGTCCAAAAGGAAAGTGACCAAAATGCAAAATCAAATTGCTTTTTTTCTTAGAATATATGCCCTTCAATTATCCACTGAATAGTACTGACCATTAATATTCACATTATACTGTATAAAATATAGGACAATTATTGAAAATAATTTAGTTGCATAATTAAGAGAATGACTAACCAACAAAACAGTATGTTGATGGTTTTGCAGCACATGTTGGGAGTGCGAACTAAATCCAGATAGGTGTATCTACGAATGACAGTGATCTCGGGTTGCTGTAGAATTGAAAAGAAAGTATATGTCATTACTAACAGAACCAACCTTCATGGTATGGTTATTGGAAGACAGACAAAATGTAAAAAACACCCATGTGATAATTTCATAAATTGGTAACCAAGCCGTCAGTACATTAATTGGGAAAATGCGAACTGAAAGGTAAAGTACTGAACTTCTAAAATTTCACAGTTTACACTTACAATGTACATGTATATGAGGAGATACACCTTAAAATGCACAACAAATCATAAACATAATGTAGTCGTTATTCCTGAAGTAACAGGGAGTTATAAAATTGTCTAAGGGCCTGAAAGGGATGTAAGAGGGATTATCAGATAGTTATTCTGTCATCCAAGCCAATTCAGTCTTGTCTGGTATCACACCTCCTCCTGGTTCTTGTCCTCTTCAAATAGATCTGCTGGAAGTTCCACCTTGTTAACCTTTGCCATCTTTCGCACGATCTTCTCAGCATCTTCATTTCGGTTACGAGACATCAACCAGCGAGCGGATTCAGGGAGAACTCTACAAAAAATAAGAATTCCAAAAAGCCACATTTTATTATTATTCATGAAATTAATAAAAAAGGTACAATTTTAGGGACTCTATACCTCACAGCAAGAGCTCACGACTCAATGGACATAGTGCAAGTGTCTTTGTGAATGGTGCTACTGAAATGAAGCCCTCTCCTGACCTGTCATGTGACCATCACAAGACAGGAGGCAGTCTAGTCGTACGCATTAAATTTTCATTGCTCTGAAACCTGAAAAAAGTGAAAGCTTCTCTTTCAACTTCTGTTGTTCAAGGACAAGTGACTTACGAGGGATTCAATTTGCTTTATGTGTTGTTTGGCATCGTGTTAGCTTCGTATTCAATAATGCTAATGTCTATAGCGGATTATTTTTCCTATGAAGTGTGTGAATTAACATGTTCTCACCTTTTCTTATGTAGTTTGACATCGGTTCATATTTTTTATCATAATTGTCTTAACACTACACTACAGTCACATAGGCTGCAGTTTACAATGTCAATTCATCACAAATATCTAAAAAAAAAAATTTTTCATTTTGGAACTTTGGAATGGAAGTCACTGGGTAATGGCACCCATGAGTGATGAGATGAAACAAGATTTGAACACTAAGAGTCATTAGAATTAAACATGAATACTGAGACATGTGCACTATCTACATGTACAGTATTACTAACGGAATGAGAAAGATAAAAGGAACATAGATCATCGTGAGAGCTAGCTGCAGCATCTTCCAGTCACGAATTAAGTAAGCAAAAAGAGCTAGCAACATGTAGCCTATCGCGTAGTAGATGTTGATGAATTGTCCAGCAAATGCTCGGATGGACGGACCAACAAACTCAGTGCCTACAAAAAAAAAATGAAAAGGAGGATTCTCAGGAATGAATGCAATGTATGTGGAGTTGATAAGTTGTGAATATTATCTGCTGTCATCAGGAACTCTGTATACTTTGTGCTCACAAAGACTTGAGCTATGATTACAAAACTGTCCAAACTTGGAATAGACGAACTATTGGAAAGGAACTCAATGCAAACAGAAGCTTTACTTGTCTGGAATGCAGGATGGCCATAATAATGACAAAGAATGTGTCACAGGTTGAGTTCACAGTGGGCAACTTTCATATGAAATACCCAACTCTCAGCAAGTTAGGATAAATGGTGGCTTTTTAAATAATGCTACACACTACTAAAACCTACCGATTACAAAAGCCATTGTGTACAGGCCCCATTTAAAGAGTGCCACTATGAAACGGACCACGATAAAAACAGCCAGATTGGGTGCAAATGCTTGGGCAATACCGGCCAGAAATGAAGCAACCAAACAAATGAAGAATGTTGGTTTTCTACCAATCCTGTGAAAAGTGATGAAATTTATATTGATTTAGAAATATCCAAAACAACACAAAAAGCACTTGGTTGCAAGGGACTGAGAAATACCTTTTTCATGAATGTATACAGATGTCTGAAAATACCTGACTCAGTGCTCGCCAAGGCAACCTACACAATATCAGAAATCAGTGACAATAGCTTGACCTGACCTGACCTAACCAACCTCACCTAGCAAAGCTAGCAAATATATGTCTGCCAGGGTACTTGAGCTAACAATATTACAGATTTGTTGGTGCCTGTTGTGTTGGTGCTGGAAAAATCGTGATATCACAACTGTGACTGCTCAAGGGGATTTGTCAGAATTCCAATGTAACAGTGATGGGTGGAAGTGGCTGAGAAGGTTACTCTTCTTATAATGTCATGTCATCAATCATGCTACACCAGTGTCTTACCATGGACCTCCATGGCCTATTCTACATTCTATGTTCAGACAGTGTTTATTCAACAATGTGCAACTTCACTGTGTATTAATATTTGATAATACCCACTGAGAAGTGAATCATGCACTGGTACCTCGATACAAGACAGTTTATTTGATTCTGATTGGTCAAGAGTCTGCGTGCGCCAAATCCATATAACAAGATTCTTTTGGAAAATTTGCACAAAATCCTTGGAAATTTATTGTATATTGATTTTCTTTGACGCTGTCTAAAATTGTATTTATGACTGGAAATAAATACATGTATGTGCTTGGTTGGTCTTAAACAACATGTAACGTTTGAGACCTTGTTGAAGAGAATGACTTCTAATAATGTCCTCACCTGCTGCTCGGGGAGTTTAAGACCGGCCAACCACATATTTATTCCCTTATTCATGTAACTGGGATATCTACAGTGGTACAGCCAGTGGGGGGGTGGGGAGGCTCCCCAGACATGTTGCCAATGTTTTGCTTTGTTAAACAGAAGTGAAAGTCAGCATTTTAAACAGGTAATGCCACCTACGTGTACCTTGAAGCATAATAAGGATTCTCTCAAGGTGAGAAATGTTTTCACAGTTATTTCAGAAAATTTCCATTTTGTGCCTGTGGACCCAAGACCTGGATATGACATTGGATATGAGTTCAATCTTACCAGTCGGCTAATAATCCAATAAGAAAGGAGCCAATCAACATTCCAGCAAAAAAGGCGGATTGAGCATACTTGATGAGCCTGGCTCTCTCACATACTAGTTCATACTGAAAGGAAAAGGAGATTTTGTCCTGTAACCACGATAACAGAGAGAAATCTGAAATCCAGTCACCACAAATTTTGAGTTTTATAAACACCAATACAAGTTTTGAAATATGATCACAGAATAACTTTTCTTCAGACAATTTATGTTTTTCTGAAACTAAACGGACTTGTCCGTGTAAGTACAAAGTGAGATGTGATTTGTGTTGATGGTCACGGTGATTTCATTGGAGCTGGGTGTGGAACTCTTACCATAAAAACCACTGATTTCATTTATGTCAGAATAAGAGACCTTTATCATACATGGCCTCTAAGTCACTCTCAATCTTTTGAAAAAGCAGAAGAAAAACTATCTTTCCTAAACCCAGTCTAAATGCAATCGGTAGCAGATCCCAAAGGAGCATACACAACCCCGCACCCACCCCACCCATCCACTTTCTAATAATTTTTTTTGGTAGGTTTTGGGTTTTTTGTTTTAGCTTTTTTGTTTTGTGTAAAGGGACGTCTTATCCTTTCCCTCTGCTTTCCTTTTGTTCTCAACTAATCATTTGATAATTTCAGGGCAGTGACATTTTTCAATGAAGTGGCTTATCTCCTTTGTAGTTTGAGAAACTACATTGTATCACACAGCATTGACTAGTACCAAAGCAATTAACAGAATACAGATCAGTGAATAAACTTTACTAGGGGCGGATCTGTAGGAGGAGGCAACAAGAAGGGCATATCCCCCACCCCAAAAAAAGATAGCTTTGTTTTGGTCTATTTATTTCAATTTTTTTTCCTTCAAAAAGTGTGTTTAAAAAAGCTTGCCCATTACAAAGGTCACATAAGGTAACATAAAAATTCCAATCCCAAAAAGTTTGGGCCCCCCCAAAAAATGGTTTTCAATCTCCCTTGAACTTTGGCATTTTTCAGCCCAAAACCGTCACCGTATTATTTTATAGGTATTATTACATATAATTTGTGCACCCCTGCCAATTTACTGATTTTCGTCAACTCAAAAACTTACTTTTCATTGCTTTTAGATCCTAATACTGGCCACTAGGTCTGACCTTCAATTTGATAGAATATGCGGTCAAGGGACCGGCAGGTTGTTGAACAAACAATACACAAAACCAGTGCAATAATGCACTCAATTGTACATTATAATCACATAATAGCTTCTCACGTCTAGGAGTATCTCCAGCCACAATTTGGCAAGATTTAACAATAAGATGAACAATACTTCTTGCCTTGTTGAAAATTTCAATTCCTTTTAAATTGTTTAATGAGTAACTTACTTATTGAATTGTTGAAAGATTTCTGTTGCTTTTTTTTTAATCTGCTTGAAATAAGCCTCCATAGTGCAATTTTTCTCATTTAAAACAAAATTAAATTTCTCTTCCTTTTCATGAATTTTGCAATCGAATATTTAAATTCAAAAAATAATTTTCAAATATTCGATAATTGATTGAATACTCGGTTTTTCAGATGTTCGGGACAGCCTTATTGGGCACCACTATGTAATATAGACAAAGATGGAAATATTCAGCAGGATGTTTTCTTCTTTTTTTTGTTTTAATTGGAGCAAAATAAACAGGATCAAATATTTACATAACATGGTCCTTGCCAAAAAACGTAAAATTTGATTTGGGATGCTACTTGTGTGCTAAATGGAGTCCAAATACATGTAGTTGAAAAAATTCAGGCAATTAAAAGGATCACAACAAAGCAGATCAGACATTCTTGGGAGGACTGGCGGTAAATTACGATGGATGCAATACCTGATGGTTTGTTGTGCTGCTATATTGTGACGTGTCATACTCCCATCCTTTATCACATGGGATAACTTGGATAGCTTCATCCTCTTCCAAAGTCTGGTTGTAGATAGAACTTTTTGCATCCTCATATGTAAAAGTAACACCGTCATCTTCCTCATCACCAGTCAAGATCAAAGGTTGTGAAAGCAGAATTCCGCTGTCAGTTACCACGTCTAAACCAGTCAGATTAAATCGCCGACACTGGGAGTAAGAGATCTTGCCCGATTCGGTGTCCACCTCTTTTGGAATGCTAATGCTCTTCAAGAAAGCTGAGCATTGATCGGGGTCGTCAAGAGGCAAAGAGCTGCAGTTGTCCCGGTAGCGGATGAGTTCCGGCGCGGTGCACCAGTGATCGGTCTTAGCGCTCAGAAACACCGGACTAAAAGTGTGCAGAGCGGAAGGAATGGCCACTAACGTCATGACAAAATAAATACGTCGTTGGTAGGTACCAAAGGTGCCCACGTGGTTCAAAATGATATCGAACTTCATCCTGGACAGGGAGTCCCGTGTAAAATGTAAGTTCAAAATCAAGGCAACTGGTCATCCGAAGCCAGCTTGTTCCTATCGAATGTTGAGATGGATTTCAATAGAACATGGATGACAGAACTCGAGCCTGAGTCTGCAGAGTGCAGTGTCCGTAGAGCTAGAGAGTATTGGAAAGTCCTTTGTGGCTGTACGCGCACGTAGGGCGATTTTTTTCCGTGTCACATATGGAATGCACGAAACATCATACGGCATAAAACGCCACACTGCATCAACTAGCATAATCGACCGTACCCCTCAGGCTTGTGACGCGACTGAAGGATTCTATTTCCCTTGGCCTTCGGCCTCCGGAAATGGGACCCCTTCTGGTCAACCATAGTGCGCAAGTGACCCCATTAATTGCCAGTTCACACTATGTACTACTTAGCATACATACATTCGTAATTTGTACCTCGCCAATTGTGAGAATGTTGCCAATTCTGTCATCAAAAAGGCTAGAGCAAGATTAAGTTTTTTATATTGATATGTAAATTGTTTAAATGAGCGATCTCGTAAACAATTATGTTCTGCTCTCAGAACATGTTATTTTGATTACTGTTGCTCATCCTGCTTTTCTGCACTGTCTACTAAACTAAAAAAGAGGTTGCAAATAACTCAAAATAAGATCGTCCGTTTTATTCTAAGCCTAGGTCCCAGATCTCATATTGGACAAGCAGAATTGAAAGGGTTGGGTTTTTTTTAATGTAAATGATCGGGTAATACAGTTAAAATTGAATCAGGTTTATAACATTTTTCATGATATGGCACCAGATTATCTTTGTGAGAATTTCAAAAGAGTTTCAAATACGCACAGTTATTCCAGTAGTAGTGCAACAAATGTTGTTGTTCCCTGTATAAAGGGGCCTGAATGCAATACTTTCTTCTATACTGAAGTACACTTTTGGAATTCGCTTCCCAATGAAGTAAAAAGTTGTAATACTCTACAAAATTTTTATAAAACAGCCAAAATGTACTTGTTATCAAAATCAAAATTTTAAATTTGTGGGTTATTTTTCAAAATCTTACACATTTTCAAAAAAATCTATGTTAACCACCACTGTATTTTTTAATATTTTTAGTATTGTATAAATGTTTTTCTTTTTTGTGAGGACCCCAATGGAATACAGCTTTCTTGGGTTATCCTTGGCTTCTGTCTTTTACTATTCTTAGTGTTTTTGTATTGTGACTGTCATTATAAATTGTCTTTTTGCCAGAATAAATAAATAATTATTGCGTACTTCACTGGAACACAAGATCTTAAGACTGAGCATTTTGGCCCGACTGTATTGTCGCTGCCGTGGGCCGGGGATTAGTAATTTCGCTTAGTTTCAAGAGAGCACGGTTTTTCAGAAAACTGTTGTTGCCTTTAACTATCAGGTAATCCCATATGAAGCAAGATATGAGACGGACAGAACCCCGCTACTTTGTGTTGGTCATTGTTTTGCTGGAATCTGAGGAACTGTTTTCATATAGCTAGGGGATATGTTAGGTAACAATAGTCTAGAGCATGATGTATAGCGATTGGACATGTTGGAGGGGGGGTACCCCTCTGTCTCATTCTGGCTGTATATCTTCCGCTGCCACACATAATATTGGTTATAACTGCAGGTGTCATATACATAAACACGAAGACGAAACATATTGAAAATAGCTCAGTAAGAGGATTCTCAAGGTCGGACCCCTTTTTATATCAAGCATGCTTTCGTCAAATTGGTCCAGGTCGAGGGTCTGCTACGAGCCCGTAGCGAATATGTGGTACAGAAAAAAATGCGGGTAGGGCGATTACCACAAAGAAAGGCGGTCGTTCAGGTCGCCCGCGTCCTGGACTGGTACCCGCCCCTAGGCCCTATGATAATGAGGACCGACAGCTGGCTGCGGTTTGACGCGTGCGCTTAGCCCTACCATGGAGGTAGAATTCTACCTCCATGGCCCTACAATTCGGATGCTGAATATCTAAAATTTTCATATGCAGCAAGGTATNGTAACAATAGTCTGGAATGTGTATAGGGATTGGACATGTTGGGGGGGGGTACCCCTCGGTCTCATTTCTTGCTGGGTATAAAATTTTTGTAGGCCAGTAGCAATGCATTTCAGCTCGTAGGCGAAAAAAACACAAGTACGTGTACATTTATCTCCATATGTATCTTTACTAGAGCTCAGTTGATCACAGTGTGGTAATTTATATCATCATTGTACGGCAATTCATTTCAAATCATTGGTTATTGTGTTAAGTTTTAGATATATTTTCGGTAACGCAGAAGAAAAAGCAAAATATGCTATGATTGGTTTCCTTATTTACGTACACTCGGCAGGATTCTGGGGGATTCATTACCCGCCACCGGTCCCTACGTTCAGAGGACGTCTGTAAGACGTTTGGCGACTACGTTCAGGAGGGGAACTAATCTAGCGGAAGTTCTTCAAAGCCGAATTATTATTGTGTCCGACCTGCTGCCATCCGTACGAGCATAGAGCTACGTACAAACCCCTCTATGGTACGAGTAACAGCTGTAACGGTCTGTTTACGGTTCTATTAAAACAAGTGGACTGTTATCATGCATAATGCAATGATGATCGTACCCGTCCAAAGCCCAGATCCGGAACGAGATACATGAAACATAAAAATAATTTTTGAAAGGTTCTGTTGACGAGACACAAGCCCATGGGCATGTAGATGGTGACCTAAGCCGACATGTCACTTTGAAGCTGTTGTCCTGTAAATCAGGGGTGAAATAATCAAAAGTTAGAATGGATGGAGCTGTGTATGTCTCGGCCTAAAAACTGGTCATAAGTAATCCCCTATCGAGCGTCAGAAACTTAAGATCGGCAAAGAAGGGAAGAGATGTTTTTAATCTAGTTAGATCTTTATATGAGGTATGCTGTGGAACGTGTAATGGTAGGATAACTAGGAACGGAGAATCCGTTAAACTGAAATAGCGCCCTCATTCCTCTTACGACGACACTCGCACAAAAATAGTTAGGTGCTGCAGGCCAAACGACTTGTCGTGTCAAATAAGGAAGCGTAGCATGGACTTCAGACATGAACAGATAACGTTGCGAATGCGCGCATGTGGTTACGTATCATCAATTTACATGGGCTGTAAGGTAACTATACATAAACGTCAGTAACTTGTAATTGAAGGCCTCTTTTGCTGAACAGCTAAGTTTTAAAAAAATGGAGGGCAGTGATAAACACCTCAGTCGAAATGGTTGTTTTTTGAGCTCAGCTGTTAGGGAAGAGCACACAGATGTGCTGACGGACCGACCTGATCTTCAGCTGAAGTTGGTGCAGATTTTCTTTCGGCATGGAGCGCGAACACCAATACGGCTAACGCCAGGAGTTGAAGAGGTAGGCCCCTGGCCCCCTAGGCCTGAACTTGCTGAAGTTGTACTTTGACATGTTTGATGACGTAATTAGTGCAATGAAGGAAAGTTAATTCAAAAGGGCAAGAGTTCCATATCTTGACATCAGTTGAAACCCTGTGCACAACGCTCTGAGATTGTTCTGAAATTTTTTAAATGTTTTGTAGGCCCTACGTGTAAGTACTGCCTCAATATTTTCCCTACCCTGCTTAATTTAAAGGAAACAGTTCCATACACACCTGCTGCTGGTGACAACGCTTGGTGCCTCTGTGCACCAACCTATTAGACTTGTCTGAAAGTGAAGTGTTTTCTAAGGAAATGTTTGGGAATTTTCCCAGCTAAATTTCACAGTTTAGGACATGTTATCACTTTTCTAATGGCTGCTATAACACTTTAAGGGAAAATTGGTGTTGTCCGTATATGGAACTCTTTCCAATTAAACGTTTAGGTTATCTCTGATAATAAATCACTGTGTACCATTTACACAGTGTTAATGAATTTAATGATATCTATGGCCGTGATCATTGATCCTTGGTTGGTTTATGGACACCAAAACTCACATAATAAATGCTGCAAACCAGCATTAGGATCATAGATCCAGATCCGTGGGAAACAAACAGGCCCTACTTTGGAAAATTTGTGGGAAAAGTCAAACATGTGGTAAGAGTCTATACCCAGCCAGAGATACCAACTCTTATGATTTAGGCATAATTTTTACGATTTGTTTAGTCTGTTTATGACTGCGCAGTCCAGTTTAAGATTTTTACGGTTTCCAACTCGAAGGTACAAAACCATACACTGCAGAGGATTTGATTCTTGGGTATTTGGTGAGCAACTGGACTTGTTTTGTACGATGGCAACAAGTGAGCAGAAGTTCAGGGACGAATACACCACAAAAATAGGTCTTTATTGCAAAGTCTCGTCATGGAGAAGGTTATGTGTTTTGCAATGCATGTAACTGTGACATGATAAATATTGCCCACGCTGGATCTTACGACACAGAGAAGCACATTAGTTAGGCCAAGAAAAAACAGCTCTGCTTCCGATTAAATAAGGTCGGTAGGTAAGGATTTTGGACAATTTCTTAAGCTGATTGAATGGGATGAAAGTTGCACAAAATTGCCACAAGAGTGATTAAAATAAAAACTACTCAGAATTAATGTGGAAATATAATCAACAATTAGTTGCAATTCACACTTGCACAATGATAGTCAGGTAAATACAAGTGTTTTGACATGAAAAATTGTTGACCGGTGTTTGTTATGAAAGAAAAGACAACAGGATTTTTAAAAAATTTAGAAAAAAATTTTCTAATATGCCGATGAAAATTTTTATGGTCACGCTGAAAAATTAGGGTCGGTTGGGAAACCGGAACTGGAAGTGTGATAGGATAACACTTTTTCATTTTGAAAAGTTGGCATCTCTGCATGCTGTAATTTAACTGCATCACATACATCTTTCATTTTTTTAGCCATTTCTTGGCTTTTTTCATGTATTTAGGTGGTATGGGATAAAGACACCATGTTTATAGAAGAAGATTACCTCAAATGCGATTATGATGTGTACTCATTGGATGGCAAATCTGGCCCTCATCACTCCGTTATCGAGGAATCCTATCAGCAGGCAACAACATACAAAGTGAGTGTGTCCAAGTTCATGTATTTGTCAGATGCAACCACAGGTTTTTGCAATGTTTGACATTTTACAAAAGAAGCTACACGAAAGGTTCGTGTGTATCTGGCAGGATACTTTGTTGAAGCTGGACTTGGGAAGGGATTGTAATCTTGTAAGGATGTACACGGAAAATGTTTTCTTAGCAAGACTGGCAAGACTGAGCAAGCCACAGTGATGTTCTGGTTCTACGCTGATATTTGCTCAGCTCATGCATTTCCATGTAGTTAAGTATATGTTGTAATTTTTCTGCTTAAAAAGCTAAATGAAAGCAAGTCCCTTATGCCCTAAATTGGGACTAGTATTGTCTGAAGAGCCAGGAGGACAAAGGTTTTTTAAACATTTCAATTTCAAACAGAACAGTGCAAATTTTCTGAATAGACCTCTTTTTTGTAAAAAAAAAAAAAAGGAAAGTGTTTTCAGATGTATGTGTAATTCTAATATAATAATTCTGCCGGCAGGGTGGTGCTCATCGAGGTCAGCTGACTACATTAGGCATGAATCAGACATATGAACTTGGCACCTACTTCCGGAAACACTACATTGAGAAACTGAAATTCCTGTCTCCAAAGTTCAACTACAGTGACATGTAGTAAGTTCCCCCTCAAACCCTGTTGTCTGTGCATATTAAAATGGTTGCACAAGAACATTTGTGGAATTTGTTGAAAGTCACGTAAGTCACCAGTAGTAAGATGTCGTTTACTTCATATTGCCTTGTGCTAATGAAAAATGGCAAAATATATACTGAAATTTTCATGAGTTTAAAGTTAATTCCTTTTGGTATTATTTTTCTCTCTTAAAGTTTACATTCCACTAATGTTATTGGAACTTTATTCCAGTTCTTGTTTTTCCCCTCTAAAAGTTTGCGCTCCACCAATGTTAAACGAAACCTGAAGTCTATGTCCTGCGTCTTAGCTGCTATGTACGGAGAAGATCTGAAAACAAATCAAAATGGTGAGAAGCCAAAGACAACTTGCTCTTGTTTTATCATTTGATC